TAGGTTTTATTGCGCGGAAACCCCCCCGTTAGCGACAAATTTGGCCTCGATAGCGAGGGCGACGATGTCGAAGCGGCGGACGTATTATATAAAATTACCCTAATAATATAACCTCACAGTGAAAATAATCATGGTTATTCATATGACTTTCCATTGCAGGGGGCTGCGCCCCCTGCGACCCCCTGGGGGAGAGGGGGGCTACCGCCCCCAACCCCCGCCGAGGAAACAAAAGCTCCACCACGTATTCACGGCAGGATAGAGCGCACACGAAACTAGATGCGGAGCCGATAATCTACAATAACCTAGGATTTTTAAGGTACTAACCTGATTGATTAATGCCGCTAATTAGTAGGGAGGGCGCTCCTTTGCCGCAGAAGGTGAAGGAGGCAGGGTGCGTCCGGCAGGAGGTCCTAGGCCGGAGGATACAGCGACGCTGCAGCACACAGGAAGTGGTGCAACCTCACAGTCAGGTCCTGGTAGTATTTTTTCCTGGCTAGTTGCAATTTCGCGCAGAAAATCTGTCTCCGAATACGAGCACCCTCCACACTCGGCCATCGCGTCGGCTATGACTGACTTCTGAACGCGACGGTTATTTCGGTTAGGAATACGAAAGTCGTTATTCCAGAGGAAGGGAAAATCGACCTTGAGGCCATCGGTGTAACATCGAAAGAGGCGCAAAACCCGCCGACGAGGGCGGGCCACCCTGTTCATCCTGATTATACTGCAATCGTCTCTATATACAATGCTGACTATAATAAGGTTAATATGCTGATTCAGTGAGAATCTTACGAGGTAATTGTATTACGCCCGCCGCTCCGACATCGACGACGATTGTGTAACGCTCTAGCCTGCCGGGAATAGGTGGTGGAGGTTTTGTTTCCTCGGCGGGGGTTGGGGGCAGCAACCCCCCCAGGGGTCGCAGGGGGCGCAGCCCCCTGCAATGGGAAGTTGTTGAATAATCATGGTTATTTTCGCTGTGCGTTATATTATTAGTGTTATTTAATCCCGCATTTTCCCTGGAGCCTTCCATGCCCTCCCCTGTAACCGGGGCCAAGTTTGTCACTAACGGGGGTTTTCCGCGCAATAAAAACTATAAATTTGCAATGTGGAGATTGAGAGGAATCCAACGATACCAAAAGCGTCGATGTCGGTTATGCGGACGTAATATAGAAAATTACCGGCCTACAGTTAAAACAATAAGAAGCGTAAAATATGCAAAAACAAACCAAACGAAAAAAAAAGCAAACAATCCCTTTCCTACGATTTTGAGTAAGTGACGTTTCATGATAGTAAACAAACAGACGACACATCGCGTACGCAACGCCATCTATTGTTCAGATGTTACACTATCCGCCAACCGCTGGGGCTCACAGACTCTCCCCGTGCTTTCCCGTCTTTCGTATATAAGAGAGGGAAAGATAGTGCTCCTATTCAGAGACGCTCCGAGCGCCCTTTCAGGAGAAGGTTCGCCGCCACAAGGTCAAGGCTCTGATTGGCCGCTGCGCATGTCAGCTCGATGGTGATTGGTTGGCGGTGCGGGTTATTGGTCCAGAACTTGTACAAAGAGTTCAGGAATTCTCTGAACAAGAACGAAGGACAGACGGTGAGGTTGCACGGGATGCGATGACTCAGCTATTCAGGAAACAGAAGACGTGTTATATATATATATATATAATATATATATATATATATATATATATATATATATAATATATATATATATATATACATATAATATATACATATACATACACACACACACACACACACACACACACACACACACACACACACACACACACACACACACACACAACATATATATATATATATATTATATATATATATATATATATATGTGTGTGTGTGTGGTGTGTGTGTGTGTGTGTGTGTGTGTGTGTGTGTGTGTGTGCGCGCGTGTGTGTGTGTGTGTGTGTGTGTGTGTGTGTGTGTATGAACACAAGCACAAACACAATCACGTGAACACAAAAATGAAAATGAAACTAGCCACAATGAGAAATTTGTGGCTAGTTTCATTTCATATATATATAATATAATATATATATATATATATATAATATATATATACATAATATATATACATATACATATACATATATATATATATATATATATATAATATATATATATATATATATATATATGTGTGTTGTGTGTGTGTGTGTGTGTGTGTATGCATGTAAATATATATAAAGAGAGAATGAGGGAGAGATTTAGTTTTAGTTTTAATTCCATTTGTTACAATGGATATTCTTTGATGTGACATACTGTCTGTTTTATTCTGCCCAAATCTCCCCCTGTGTGCAAGGAGTGGCCGGGGTTACCACTCACTGGCCGGGCGTGGATTGAACGCAGGACTGCAAGATGCTAGAGAGAGAGAGAGAGAGAGAGGAGAGAGAGAGAGAGACAGAATAGAAAAAAAGAGGGAGAGCGGGGTCATGGGAGGGTTCTTGGGTAGGCCATTACAGACATAGAGGAGGGAGAGGACGGTGTGGTCTGAGTGGAGAAAATGTAGACGTATAGTTTAGAAGAGGGAAGTGGAAGAAGAGGAAGGGGAGGAGGGCGAAGAAAAAGGGAGAGGAAATGGGAGAAGGGAAGAGAAGGTTGAGGAGGAAGAGGACGAGAAAGTGAAGAAAAGGGGGGACGGGAAGAACAAGAGGAGGAGGGGATGATAAGGGTCGGGGGACAAGGCAGAGGAGGAGAGGGAAGGAGAAGAAGAGGTGGGAGAGGAAGAGAAAGAGAACGAGAAAGCGAAGAAGAGAAGGAGGGAGAGGAAGAAGGAGAGGGGGAGAAGAATTGTTGGGGGTAGATCAGGGTCGGAGGACGAGGAGAGGGAAAGGGAAGAAGAGAAGGAGAGAAAGGGGGAGGGGAAGAAAAAGAAAGAGAAGGAGAGAAAGGGGGAGGGGAAGAAAAAGAAAGAGAAGGAGAGAAAGGGAGAGGGGAAGAAAAAGAAAGAGAAGGAGAGAAAGGGGGAGGGGAAGAAAAAGAGAAGGAGAGAAAAGAAGGATTAGATGAAAGAAATGAGACGAAATTAGGAGATTCATACATAGAAAGAAAAACTAAAAAGAGAATATTATAAAGGTTTTTTTTTTTTTTTTTTTTTTTTTTTGGCCCAGAAGAGAAATCTTGGTTTTACCCTTAATAACAGTGCCAGTTGTAATTCGAGACATAGCGATGGTGGGAAATTGGCGCCATCGAAAGGAAGGATCTCAGAGCAAACTCAAACACAGTGCATTCGAGACTGAAATAATGAATTCAGTCTGAAATCAGCAATCGTTAGCAGCTGTGAATGTGTATCTTTGAAAGAAAAAAAATGCAGTATTTATACCACTGATTGGAATAAAGATACAGAAAACATTGGTGTACATTTTATACATTTAATAATCAAAATCTATATACATACAGTTGAGATTCTGAGGATGCGCAACAAAATAAGCAATAAATTAGAGAACAATAGAGAGATAACAAACGGTCTTGAGAAAACAAGAATAGACAGAGAGGTGAGAGAGAGAGAGAGAAAGTGAGGACAACGTTTCGCGTCCTTGTCCTCTCTACCTCACCCATCGTCTACCCTACTATTTTTTCTTCTTTCGCTTTCGAAAATGAAAGCTATGGCGGGAAGGGAATCTATTGTCTCCCGTCCACACGTAGAAAACGGGAATCTATCCGCCGAAAGAAGAAAACGGGAAATGTCCTTTTTAGAAGCAGCTGTCAGTCAATCCCGGCGCGGAACAGTAGGCGGACACTGTCACCGTAGTGGAGTCCAAGATGGATGTGCTCGTGAGGGTGAAGGTGGTGAAGACGGTGGACCAGAAGGTGAAGGCGCGGGCATCTTTGTCGGCATCGCGCTTCTCCCTCTCCACATCCAGAGACTGAGAGCCCTCCAGCTCGGTCTTTGAGAGCTCTTCGACGAACTGTTTCCTGGTGGAGGGAGAGGGAGAGGGAAGGTGAGAGACGTAGAGAGAGCGGGGAACAAGTTGTGGCTCTTATTATCTATTTTATCATGGCTGTTGATAATGATGATGATAATGATTATTATCGTTACTGTTATAATGACGATGGTGGGATTTATTAACTACAAATCACACTTGCGACGAAAACACACTCACACACATCCACATACCAGAGACAAAGCACAGACAAAACAAATAAACACACACACGAATAGCCACACACGCACACACTACTGCGACACGATTAACAAAGCCGATCCATAAGAAAAGAAAAAGAAAAAAAAAGCACTCACAGGGGAGCAGCGAGCGCCCTCTTCCTCCTGCCGGTGCACGAGGTCGACGACACCGACAGGCAGGTCTGGAGTCCCGTGATCGTGGTGGTGGTGAGGTGGGTGATGGAGGTGGTGGAGTAATAGGCGAGGATTCTCTCCTCCCTCTCGTTGGCGCAGACGATGGCGGCGAGGGCGACGAGGACGGTGACGACGGCGGTCTTCATCTGCAGAGGGGGAGAAGGAGAGAGAATATGATAGAGAGAGAGAGAATGAGAGAATATAAAAGAGAGACAGCGAGAAAGAAAGTGTGAGAGAATATAATAGAAAGAGAGAGAACTACTGAGGAAAGAAAAAAAAACACAATCAGAGAGACTATTCGAGGGAATATGAGAGGAAGGACAAGCAGAGAAGGAGAAAAGATGACTTGGCTGACGATAAAGAGTTCAAGAGCAGCCAGACTCTTTCGAATCGTCACGACAGCACAAGAAGGCCCATTTGAAAGCTGTTATTTATAAAATTCGGGTCCTTAACATCCCCCCAAAATATATATAAAAGAGAACTTTATGTAATAATCATAAGAGTGACCTAAGAAGGACATACGAAGGAACAGGAGAACGAGATGAGATAAACTGAAAATGTTTAGCCACACTCACCTTGAGGAGTTTGTGATGGACTGGCTGAGGATGAAGCAAGTACTGACTTCAGCTTCGAGTCTCCGGGTATATATACTCCCAAGGACCCCGCCAGGACAGGGAGGCGCCTACTCGGGAATGCACTCGGGCGCCCTCAGGCGTAGGCCGCCCACCAGGAAAACCGGGGCCGCGAAGTAGTACTAGGTCAAAGGCCCCGTTTTCTCCTCGTCTTTCCTCGTGTGGGGAAGCGAGGGCGGGAGGCGGAGGTGAGGTTGGGGAAAGGGATAAGGTCCTGCCTTCGTTTTGCTTGTTTCTCGTTGTCGTTTCTGGGCCCCTGGACTGGCGACGGCGCTGCTCGTCCGTGTTGGGGATCTCTCGAGCCATCCTGACGGCGTTCGAGTGGAGGTCAGGGTCTCCTGCGGGACTCGACCTGCCTGGGAGTCGGAACCTGAACTCTTAGACCCCCGTGTCATCTGATTCCCGCTTCCACGTCTTCACAGAGCGATATCATTCGTATAAGGTAGTCCTGGGGAAGAGAGAGTCGAAACGCATCAAATGAATCTCTCGCACTGTAAAGATGTTCATTCTCATACATATTTTTGATGTATTTGTCACGTGCGTAATGTTCACGGCGCGCCACGTAAGAAACGGACACTCGATAACATACACAGACACCTACGTCTCTCTGTCCGTATCTATGTTTACCTATATACATATATGCATTTACTGAGTCTAAACTGCATCATCAAATTCAATTCCAGTTACGCCATTTATTGTCTTTTGTCTTGGTTACACGTTCTGCAGCAAGGACATGGAAATAATGTCTAATAAGTGGAAATACAAGACGAAAATACTTACTGAAAGGGACTTCTTTTGTAACGACATATATAACTGAAAGTCTTTTATTTCACAATTTGCCTGACGAAAAATAAATGGAAATATTCATACGTATTCCTTTCGTATAAATTTTAATAAGCAAAGAAGAATCATTTGTTTATTTCAGAACATTTTCTAAAAACAAGAGGAGAGGGGAAGGAGGAGGAGAAGAAAAAGAAGATGAAGAGAGAGAAAGAAAAAAAAGAAAGAAAAAGAAAGATAAAGTAAAATAAAAAAAGAGAAAAAGAAGAAACCAAGAGAAAGGCAGAAGTGGGAGAAGAAGAATGAAGTAGGAGAAAAAACGAAGAAGAATGAGAAAAAGAAAGAGGAAGAGGAAAAGAAGAAGGAGAAAAAGATGCAGAAGGAGAAGACAAAAAAAGTAGAAGATGAGATGAAAATGAAGAAGTAGACAAGGAAATGAACAATACCGCAAGTAATGACAAACACCGTGAGGACAAAACAGGACAAGGCAAACAGAGGAATTAGAGCAATAAAAACACTCAATGATGATAAAACTAACATCAAAAACCAAAACAAGTGAAGAAATATAATAACACCATTTATAGCGCCACTAACTATGGTTACAAACAACAGTGACGTTACTCACATAAGTAAATGGAATAATAATGATGCTGAGAACCTTAATGATGATGATGATGATAATCAAAAACCGATAACAGCGAAGGTAAAAAAAAAATCTAAACAGAACAGTGATGATAAAGATAATACCAAAGATAACAGGTAAATTATCCTGGAATTGTTATTCTATTGAAGATTAAATCTGAGTAAATTAATAAAGGTGATGATGATTATGATGACAATGATGCTATTATTACTACTACTGATGATGGTGATGATGATGAGGGTAATAGTAATAATGGAGATGATTATAATGGTAATCATAACAGTAAAATTAATACTAGTGTTATGATGATAACGAAGATAATGATAATAACAATGACAATAATGAACACAATAATAATGATGACAGTAGTAATAGTGATGATATTGATCATAATGATAGTATTGTCAATAATTATGATTACAATAATGATAATGATAATAATGATAATAGGAATAATATTCATAATAAAATTCATCATCATAATAATAATAAAATGATAATGATGATAATGTTAATGATAATATCTATAATAACAATAATGATGATAATAGTAATAATAATGATAATGATAATGATGATAAGATCAATCATAATGATACTACTACTCCTACTACTAATATTGATAACAATGATATCGAAAACCATTAAAATATTAGAAGAGTAATGATAAAGATAATGATAATAATAGCACTAACAATGAAAATGTCAATTCCGATGAAAGCATAAAGATGATGATAATATTGATAATGACGATGATAGTGAAAATACTAAATCTGATAGTGATAAACTTAATAATGACATTAGAAATATAATGATGACAATAAGGATAATAATGATGATAACAAAAATACTGATAATGATAATGATGGTGATAATACTAAACATGATAATGATAATAACAATAATAATAATAATTATTATTATTATAATGACAATAATAACAATAATAATGGTAATATTGATAATAATAACAATAATGAAAATCATTATAGTGCTAATGCAAGTAATAATGATGATGACAATGACAATGCTAACAAGTATAACAATAATAGCAATAATACTGATAAACAGGATAAAAATGACAATCACAATAATAATGATGATAATAATAATAATAATGATAATGATGATGATAATGATAATGATAATAATAATAATAATAATAATAGTAATAATAATAATAATAATGATAATGAATAATAATAATAATAATAATATAATAATAATGATAATGATAATAATAATAATAATAATAATAATAATAATAATAATAATAATAATAATAATAATAGCAATAATAATAACAATAATAAAGATAATGATAATGATAATGATAACAACAACAATGATAACAATAACAATAACAACACTAACAAGTATAACAATAATAGTAGTGATATTGATAAGAATGATAAAAATGACAATAATGATAATGATAATAACAAAAAAGATGATAATAATAACAATGACAATGATAATAATGGTAATAATGATGATAATGATATTGATGATAATATTAATAACAATAATGATGAAAATAATGATAATGATAACGATTATAATAATGGTAATAATAATAATGATAATAATTGAAATCATGATAATAATGGTGATAATGATATTAATAATAATCATAAAAGAAATAACAACTATGATGAAAATGATGATTGCAATAAACAATATTAATTGTAATGATAACAATAAAAATAATTATGCTAATTATGATAATAATGATAACAATCACAATGATAATCAGAATAATGAAGATAATAATAATAATGATACTATTACTACTACTACAACAACTACTAATAATGATAATGCTAATAATATTGATAATGATAATAATGATAATGATTATAACAGCAACAATAATAGTAATATCAATCATAATGATAATTATGATACAGATAACAATGATAATTATGATAGTGACAACACTGATGATGGTGATGATATTGTAATAACAATGATAATAATGATAACAATAATAACAATATCAAAAAGAAAATAAGTAATAATAAATATAATGATACAATGATGATAATGATGATGAGAATAATTACAAGAGTAGTAACGATAGTGATAACAAAAACAATGATAATAATGATAATAATTCTATCAGTAATAGTAGGAACATAAATATTAACAGTAACAACATTAATAATGATAATGATAATGATTAGAGAATGAATGAACATATGAATAATAGCAATAGTAGCAAAAACATGAACGGTAATAATGTAAGGGATAATAATGACAATAACTTTAGTAGTAGTTGTAGTAGTAACAATGATAATAATAATAATGATAATAATGATAATAACAGTGATAATGATAATGATAATAATAATGATGATAATAATACTAATAATGATATCAATAATGACAATGATAATAGTAATAGTAATAATGATGATAAGGACACTAATAGTGATAATAATAACGATCATAATAACACTACTGATAATGAAAATAATTATGATAAAAATTATAAAAATAACAATAATGAATAATGAAAAAAAAAAATATATATACACTCTTTAAGAAGAGAGAAACCGTTACGGGACAAGAAGTCGACGGCCGCCATTTTGTTTGACTGCATTGGGGACTAATATCTCTCATATTATCTTCTGTAACTTGTTTTTTGCAAATGATTTCCGGAAAACCAGGACAGAAAAGTTATGCATGCCCTTAATCAACATGAAATAGACACATTTTCGGCATAAATCGCGCTGGAATCAAATAGAATCGGATTTCGTTCGGGCGAGCCAAGTCGACTCTGGGTAGGCCTACAATATGGCTGCATTTTCCTGTAACCCATAAATAGAATATTTAAAAGTGCATTTTCCTTATTCCGCTCTCTCGGTGCCATGGCGAATGTTTGTCGGTGTAAATAAGGCTGGATTCGTTCAATAATTGCCTGGAAAGAAGGAGGTTAACTTCTGTACAAGAAAGTGCTATGGCGGAACAGAAGCTCGAAGAAAAATCAGGGTATTGTTTTTTTTTTAATATTATTCCTAAAGGCAAGTTCAGAAAAAGGCGGGGAGAAAGAGAGAGAGAGCGAGAGAGGAAAAATCAAAGCCGAATCTTCTGCAAAATGTAGCAAAGGTGGAGAGCAAAAGAGAAAAGAGAAAGAGAGCGAGAGAGGAAAATCAAAGCCGAATTTTCTGCAAAATGTAGTAAAGAGAAAAGAGCAAAAGAGAAAAGAGAAAGAGAGCGAGAGAGGCAATGCAGGAGAGAGCGGAGGCAGGTACGAGCACCCACCGGACCTTCGGGCGAAATAGGGAGGGGTGGGGGGTGGGGGGGGAGCGGAGCGAAAGAGAAGGAGGGGAGGGGAAAGGGGGGTGGGGGGAGAATATGAATATAAGGGGGGGAGTCCTTAACGGGAGACACCCCCACCCCCACCCACCCCACCCCCACCCCACACACACTCCCCTGTCCTTCATCTCTCAGCCCACAAACCTCCTCGGTAACAAAAGCTGATAAGTAGCTCATCTAACCTTCGTTTGCGCTAAGAGAGTAAAAACAAAAGCAAAAACAAAGGTCTAATAAAATAAGCTAACAAATAATCATGAATAAATAATTATTTGCTGAGCGAAAACACGAAGAGAGAGAGCA